TTTTTTTTTTTTTTTTTTAATCCTCACCCGAGGACAAGCTTAGAGAAAGAGAGAGAGATACATTGATCAGTTACCTTCCATACGCTCACCAACTGGGGATCAAACCCACAACCCAGGTATGTGCCCTGACCGGGAATCAAACCAGCAACCTTTTTGTACACGGGATGACGTTCTACCAACTGAACCACTCTGGCCAGGCAATAAAGATGTTTTTGATGGACAAGAACCCATGACAGGTAGAGAGAATCCACATGCAGAGGAGGAATTGGAGGCTCCAAGGATCAACCCAGGTTGGGGGCTTGGGGTGGAGCAAGCTGAGTAAGACCCAGTTTAGGTTCCTGCTCCTAGTAGGTACAGACAGGTCTAGGTTCAAGACCTCAAGGGGCTACTTCTGTGTTATGTGATCTTGCTCAAGGCACTGTCTCTGGACACCTCCATTTCCTCATCTGTAAATGGGATTGAAGACCACACCTGCCTCCTGTGCTTGCATTAGGGATTCAAAGCAGGGTAGGCCCTGAGGATAGTACCTGGCAGGCAGCAAATGTTATTATGAAGGAAACTAAAGCCAAAGCAAGCAGGGGGCCAGGACCCTTCAACATGCCATAGTCTTAACACAAAACACCAAAGGACATGGTAAACATTAACTTAACAAACATGAATCTAGCCCCTGGGAGGCATTGAGCCCAAAGTGGGTGCTGGGAACATGGCACGGGTAGGAGACACAGCCCCCACCCAGGGGGAGCCTAGAGTCTGGTAGGGGAGGTAGATGTTCAATGACAACCACACAAGTAATTATATAACAGCAGCACTCAGCCAGGCAGAGGCTGAAGGAATAGCAATAAACGTAAATGTGACAGTTTTCTTGGCGCTTTACAGAACATCTCTCTGGATCCCCAGCAATCCTTTAGGCAGGCCCTGAGATGAGGCCTGAATGGAAAGTTGGAAACTGAGGCACAGAGAGGAGCAGTTGGTTGCTGAGGTCACGTCACAGGGTGGGAGGCCTTGAACCCAGGCTATGTTGACCGGGGACACATCTTCACCAGGGCTCGATGGGCTGGGGCAGCCAACAGGGACCTGAGGTTGACTGTCCCAGCCCTTAAGCCCATATGCCCTGTCCACCCGCCTGCAGGTGCTCTTCCTACGGTGGCAGGAGACTCGGTGCACCAAAGCCAGCTTCATACTCAACGGAGACGATGATGTCTTTGCACACACAGACAACATGGTCTCCTACCTGCAGGGCCACAACCCTGACCACCACCTCTTTGTGGGGCAACTGATCCAATACGTGGGCCCCATCCGGACCCCCGGAAGCAAATATTATGTGCCAAAGATAGTGACACAGGATGAGCACTACCCACCCTACTGTGGAGGTGGTGGCTTCCTGCTGTCCCGCTTCACGGCTGCTGCCCTGCGCAGGGCTGCCCCCACTCTAGAGCTCTTCCCCATCGATGATGTCTTCCTGGGCATGTGCCTGAAGCAGGAGGGCCTGAAGCCCGCCTCACACAGTGGTATCCGCACTCCTGGCATTTGGCTCCCCTCACCGCGTTTGTCCTCCTTTGACCCCTGCTTCTACCGCGAGCTGCTGCTGGTGCACCGCTTCTTGCCGTATGAGATGTGGCTCATGTGGGATGCACTGAGCCGGCCCAACCTCATCTGTGGCAAGCGAATGCAGATCTTCTGAGGTGGTGTCAGGGCCCCTAGCCTCTAGGCTCCTGTCTGCACCCCCACAGGAAGGGGGAACATTTTCCTCTCAAGAAGCTGAGACTTTTGACCTCCTAGGGCATAGGCGGGTGCCAGGGAGGGTTTGATGAGTGAATAGTTTTTTGTTGTTTATTTTTTCAATATGTTTTCATTGACTTTAGAGAAAGAAGAAGGGAGCGGGAGAGAGAAATATCGATGAGAGAGAAACATCTATTGGCTGCCTCCTGCGTGCCCCTCACCAGGGACTGAGCCCGCAACCTGGCATGTACCCTGACCAGGAATCGAGCCAGCCACCTCTTGGTGCCTGGGATGATTCTCAACTAACTGAGCCACACCAGCCAGGGCTGATGAGTGAATAGTTTTGTGGTAAATTCCTACACATCCTTCAAAACTCACCCAGTACTGCTTAGACCATGTTCGTCATCCTTCCTAGACTCTCAACTGGAAGGACCATCTCTTTCTGTAGCAGCAGCACTTCTGCCAGGGTTCCAGCTGCTGCTGCTACTTCCATCCTATTTGAGTCAAAGTCCCACATCCCAGCCCCGACCTTGATCATGTGCTGAACCCTAAATAGTGGCCAGCCTCTCCTTGGTAGTGAATCTGCAGTGGTTTAATCGTGGGTGAGTTCTGGCCGTGGTTCAAAGCCAATTGGGAATTCCTGGGTTCACATGCAGCTGAAGGGAGGGAGAAGCATTCTTTCAGCCAGGGAAAGGGGTTCAGATACTGGGTCTTGGACCCCTCAGATGGTAGGAGGAGCCAGAGAGGCCATGAATGGGACCAACCCTCCCTGCCTGTAGTATCAAGTGCTGTAGTGATGGAAATATTGAGCAGAGGAGGGAGGCAGATGTCTCTCTGAGGCTATGAAGACTCAGTATCCTGGAGTACCTGGCAGGACCCAGCCCCCACACCTGGGCTCCCCAAGAACTCAGGGAACAGTATTGGGACCAGAGGGGTCTTCACTAGGCCCAAGGCCAGCACAAATACCCCAGTGCCCAGAGAAGGAGGAGGTTCAGGTCCTTGAGTGGCCCTGAGCTCTTGGAACACAGGACTGACCCCTCATCCCAGGGGTCTAATTAGGGAGATCTAAGCAAATTGGTGAACCCCAACCTTGCTGGCTTTGGACAAGTGTCTGGGACTTGGGCCTCACAGGCATTGGGGTGGTGGCCGGGCACCTCAGGCAGCAGAGTACAGGTCCTCAGAAAATAAAATGTTTGGCAAAGACCTGGAGGTCTTTTTTTTTTTTTTTTTTTAAAGTTATTTACAAGTTTTGACTCAGACCAATCTACATCATTTGTAAAAGTCTCATTTCCAATAGAAAATATACAGACAGAGTGGAGCTGCAGGAGTCTTGATCATGCCAATCTGACTTTACCCCATCCCTGCTCACACACTCACCATGGCTCCCAATTGCTCTAAGTTTATATCCCCCTAAGACTGATTCTCACTGCCAGCTTGATGATAGGCTCAGGAGAGAGAGGCAGGGGGGTGACTCTGCTCCTGTTTGCATAGGACACTGGGCCCACCTCAGCTTCCTGCTTCTGGCAAGGCCCCTTCCCAATCCCACCCAACTTCCTCTCCTCCCTGGCTCACCGCCTCCCACTAGGACTGTGGCTCTACTGTCCTCTATCCTGCCTTCTCTCCCTTCTTTAAGTATTTATTGTGCACCTACTGTGTGTTGCACACTTTGCCCAGCATTCTTTCTCCCAGCCTCATGTGAAGGGTCAGCAGATACAGACCCACCTTATAGCAAGGAGATTATATCATATGATTCCCATCTCAGGATGAAGGGAGGATACAAGTGAGAAGAATGACCAGAGTTAAATCAATAAATATCCACTGTGATTCACTTGGATATTCATGTGTGTGTGTGCGTACCATTAAATGGGCATTACATGACATTAAGGTCCTCCCAGGATCTGAATCCTGCACCTGGCCTTTCCCTCCTTGTCTGGTCTTGGCAAGCAGCCATCCCCTATGCCTTAGTTTCCCCACTTTGTACTGTGACCCAGGCTCATCCTTTTTTCCTGAGAAAATCCAAAAAGTTGCTTTGAATTCTGCAGAAGTTTTATTTACTGTTGGGGAGATGGCAAGATGGGGTGTCAAATGCCGAGAGGGTATGCTCCTCGGATATGAAGACATTTGATCCTCAGTGTCTCACATCTTTGTAAAGTCAAGGATCCGCCAAGCCAGGGTGGAGACTGTTTTTCCCCCCAGTTGGTCCCACAGAAGACAAGTGATCTAGGGTAGGTGGTGAGTTCCCTGTCCCAGGAGGTAATCAACAATGTCCCCCCAGACATGTGGCTTTATGGTGCTGTATGGCTTCAGGAGTTCACCAGACCAGATCTTCTGGGTCTCTGGCTCCCCCAAAGTCATGCCCTAGGAAGGCTCAGTGGGGACAGAGGGTCAGCAGGTCTTGCCAGGTGCAGCCACTGAGGCAGCAGTGGCGGGCAGGGTTGGTGGCAGCTGCCCGGCGGCGGTGGTGGTGGTGATGGTGAGAGGCCTGGGGTAGGGGCTGTGGGTCGAGTACCAGCATGGGGTCCTCATTGGCCATCAGGCCATGGAGATGTCGTCCTTCCAGCCATTGCAGCAGCTCACCTGGGGAAAGAGTCAAGTTCAGCATAGATAGGGACCCCAGAAGACCCCCCATTCTGTGTACACACCCCTGGTCATATCCCTCTGAGTGCCCCACCAAACACTCGTCATGCACACAAATAGTGAGTGACACTGTGCCTACTGTCCACTGGGCACAGATTTAATCACCCATCCAGGCGTGTGCATGCTTGACCAACACCCACACTCGAGTCCCTTGCAGTGCACACTCACATGTGCCAGCTATCACATGGATCCACAGACACTCTAGAGAGCAGAAGACAGCAGAAGTGACATGTGACACATGCACATGGGTGTGCAGAGTGGGTACACATGGACACACACACCCCTAGATGAGCACACACATGTACATGCCCTCAAACCCCTTCCCAGTGCCCCCACCTGCCATGTGCGCCTCTACACACCTGTCTGTACCTGTGTCACAGACATATGAACACAGGACACGTGTGGCACACGTGCACACAAACCTGCTTTATGCTCTCTGCACCAGGGCCAGGACTAGGGCGAGGAGAGTGAGCACTGGCCTTCTGGAGCACAATTTAAGGCAGCGCCACAACAACAATCAAAATCAATCATATTTTAATGCAATATTTTTAAAAATTAAAATTAATACAAAAATGCATGAAGATCAAAATACTGAAATGGTGAAGACGGACCTGACTGTGCGCTTGCCAGACTGTCTCCCGCCCCGGGCCTCGCCCCGGGGTCCGCCCAGCGGGGGAAGCGGGGAACACGCCGCACGGCCGGCAGGTGGACTCCCAGGGGCCTGTGCAAACCCGCCCCAGCCGGCGCCCACACGCGCCCCGTGCCCACTTAGAGACCCGAAACAGCCCCTGCCCGCCGCACTTACGGTCACCGCCAGCCACTGGCCGCCCGGCCTCGGGGGACCAGCGCGGACCCCCACACACTCGCACCAGCGCACGAACGAAATGGTGGCCACACAGCTTCTCTGGCGCCTCCGGGGCGGGCGGGCGGCCCAGAGCCAGTACCAGGGCCGGGCTCAGCAGCACCAGCGCCCAGGGGAGCGGGCGAGGGTCCATAGTGGCAGGAGGCGCCCGAGCCCAGGAGGCACCCCCCTTATAGGCGCCCAGACTGCCCCAGCTGGGGACCTTGGAGGGAGGAAGCATGTGAGAGGGCCCAGGGAGAGGGTCAAGGGCAGGGGCAGGGCGAATTCAGTGTAAGCCCTGCCACTGTTTTTCTTCTTTGTAATGCTAGTGCCTGACTTAATTAAGCTTTAATTATGAGGGCAACCGCCTTAGTGACGGTGATCTCCAAAACACACGTGCCCACCGAGCACCTAGATGAAGTGCCAAGTGACCTTTCCCGTGAAGCTCCTCTGTTTTAGAGATTTCGGTTGATTTTGATAACTGACCATTTGGGCCACTTGCTTTTTCTCTTTCACTCGTTAAATTAGCACTGTCATGTTTTAAATTCACCAATAAAGGATGAGTCTTCAAAACCCAAGGCCTCCTGATCCTCAATGCCAATAAAAGCAGAGCCCCAGACCTAAGCGTGTTCTCTCTCTCTGCCTGCCACTTTGCTGCGGCCCCAAGTGTGTTGTGTCATTTCCAGGTCCTATAAGTAATAAACCTTTATTTTTTTCAAAGTCCCCAGATGGTTATTGATGGTGTCTTGTAATCATAATAAACACAGGGGCTGATCCAGCCACAATGTTGGTTATTGATAGGCTGAGAAGGGCCCAGAACAGCGGGAGTCCCTCTCCCTGGGCCTTGGGTGTATCTCCCTAGGGTAGACTGCTGACTGAGGAGTTTTTATTACTATTTTTTTAAACCATTTTAAAGAAGTGAAATAGATAAATAGAGAAATAATGTCATGGGATGGAGGCACTCAGCCAGCTGAGACCAGGGGCACCTAGAATCTTGTTGTTACAAGGGTACACATAACAAAACCCACACTTGCCCAAAGCTGCAGGAGGCTAGGCCCTGGAGCTAGGGTGCTGGCTTTCTCCTGCCTCTCTCACATCAGGGTCCCCTAGGGCAGGGCAGAGACTGAAGGGCCCAGGACAAATGTGGCTGCATTTGCTCAGCACCTACTGGGTGGCATCTTGGTGCCCAGGAGGTCTTATGACCATGTTTTACCAAGAACAGAAACTTAGGCAGAGAGAGCCTGAGCTGAAAAACTGGTCTTGCTCTAGCTTAGAGCAGCCCTGCAACCCTCTGACTTTGCACTTTTTACCAAAGCAAGTGGCTTTTCCTGGGCTGAGATCTCTGTCTTTGTCTCTCTCCCCTGCTCTCTCACTCTCTCTCTCCCTCACTCTCTCTCTCTCTGTCACTCTCCATATCTTTCCAGCAATCCTGAGGAGCACACAGGGGGCTAGTTTGGCCCTTCTGATGTCGAACCCCTCCCCACAGCCCAGCTCTCCCAACCAGGCCTTACCCTCTGACCCACGAAGAACAGCCTGTTCCCTCCACCCACCAAAAGCCTATAATCAGTTCCCCAGGACAGAGCCGAGGCCAGCAGCTGGGGCTGGGGGAAGGGCTTCTGTCCTCCAGGGCCCCAGCCAATGAATGCCATACCCTGCTGTCTCTCTTCCTGCGGCCTATCCTAAGGCCCTCATTGTGCCTGTCAGGGGTCCTCTATCCCCCATCTCTAACCCCATTTCTCCCCAGATGGCACTCCTCTCAAGGTTTCCCATTGCCCAAGTCCAGCAATAAACCATCCCTTCCACTGAACTCCTTTACTCATTCAACAAACACCCCAGAGTCCCCTCTGTGCCCACCCCACCCAGCCCCCATGGAGCCTCCTGGTAGGAAGAGACAAGGCTGGACACAGTCAGCACCCCAGCCCCTAGGGTCAGAAGGAAGTACAGGGCTTGCACGGAGTGGTGGGAGCACACCAACAAAGACTACAGGGAGGTAATTGATAGGTGGGGTTTTGAGAGACGAATACAAGTTTTCCATGGAGGCTAAGTGGCAGAAAAGCCTTGCAGGCAGGTGAGGTTTGGTGGGGCTTAACCTGCACAAGCTTCCAGAAGTTGACTCTGCATGGCCGAAGGGCCAGCATATGGAACTGGGACCCAAAGACGGGAAGCAACTTGCCCTCTGTCACACAGCAAGTAAGTGGCAGAACTATCAGTTCCAACAAACTGTACTCTGAGCCCTCTCACTGTGACCTTGCTGTTCCCTCTGCCAAGAATGCCTTTTCTTCCCTCAGCTGCTGAAAAGCTCCTGTTAGGCTCCAGGGTCATCAATGTGTAAACCTCTGGTGAAGACAGAAAGGGCCCTGGTGTACAGGCAGGGAGACAAGCCCTGGGGCACAGTTAGGGTGAACTGGGTCCCCAGCTTCTCCTGGCCTCCTCACACAGTCCCAGTCACTCTTGCTCCCCCAAAAAGTGAATTTCTTTTTTTTTTCTTTAATATATCTTTATTGATTTCAGAGAGAGAAAGGGAGAGGGAGGAGAGAGAGAGAAACATCAGTGATGAGAGAGTCATTGATTGGCTGCAACCCGCAACCCGGGCATGTGCCCTGACCAGGAATCGAACCCCGATCTCCTGGATCCTAGGTTGATGCTCAACTGCTGAGCCACGCCCGACAGGGCAAAAGTGAATTTCTAACCAGAGCAGCTGCTCTTGTGCTTGGCTTTCTCCAGTGAGAGAAGAATTGGTGAACAGAAGCCTGAGATCATGTATTTAAAGCTACACAATGTTCCTGCTGAAAACAGACAGGAAGACATCCTCTGAGAGGATGGGAAGATAGGAGGAGCTTAAATGTGGTCCCTCTCTTCTGGGGGCAGGGCTCAGCAGGCCCTATTGAGGCATCTGTCTTGAATCTTCACAAGTTCCAAAAGTCACAAAGAAACTGCTGTTGCTGCACAAGCCAGGGATGACTCATGGGGATCTCTGTGAAGTAGCTGGCCTAGAGAGGAGCAGCCTCCTGCCCAGACTCACAAAGCCAGTCCACTGAGACAAGAACCCAGAGATGCAGGAGATATAAAAATGACAGTGAGTGAGATTCTCCCTCCAGACAAGAAGGAAAGGTGTGCATCTCATGCCTCTGGATGCTACCCCCGACTTCCACTCCACAGCGCATCCAGCTGGGGGCCCAGGGTGCTGAAGGATGGTCGGTCTTGTGGGCTAGGAGCCCAGCACAGCTTCATGAGCTCATGAACCTGAGGGTGTGGGAGGAGACAACAGGGTCAGATGGGAGTGGTAGGAAGGACATGGCTCTTGTTCACAGTTTTAAAATATACTTAGACTCCAACACTCCCCTGCTCCAAAGCCTCCCATGGCTCCCTATGGGTCTTAGAACAAAGTCTCACTCCCTCCTCCATTACCTCTCCCTTGTTCCATGCAGCCACAACATTATTTAAATACACCAAACTCATTCCTACCTCAGGGCCTTTACAGCTGCTGTATCCTCCACTGAGAAAGCCGTCTGCCAGCTCTCCCCATGGATGGGCTCCTCCTCCAGGTATCACCTCTTCTAAGCGCTCCCTGACCATCCCTCCCCGATCACTTCCCCCTGTTCATCTCTTTCCCACCAGAATGTTTTAAAAAAATATTTGTATTGATTTTTTAGATTGAGAGGAAGGGAGAGGGAGAAACATTGATGCGAGAGTGAAGCATCAGTCGGCTGTCTCCTGCATGCCCCCTACCAGAGCATGTGCTCTGACCCTGGAATTGAACGAGCAACCTTTCTGTGCACAGGACAACACCCAAGCAACTGAGCCACACTGGCCAGGGCCCCACCAGAATTTTTTGTTAGCTTCTGCTGGCTACCAGGAGGACTCTGCTGAGTCCCCAGCACCAGCACACATTTGTGGCTCCATGTTTGTGGCCCAAGCTAATTAACTTATGAATAACCAACTGCATGGCAGAAACTTCCACAAAAGTTGTGATGATAGCCCTGACCACTGTGGCTTCGTGCACCAAAGGATCGTGGGTTCAGTTCCCAGTCAAGGCCGTGTACCTGGGTTGGGGTGGGAACATGGGAGACAACCAATTGATGTGTCTCTCTCACATTGATGTTTCTCTCTCTCTCTTTCCCCCTCCTTTCCTCCCTTCTACTCTTTCTAAAAATACATGGGAAAAAATGTCCTCTAGTGAGGACTACTGACAACAACAAACAAGATGTGATGCTAAGCCATAAGAGGCTCTGTCATTTTATTGAGCATCCACTGTGTGCTGGGTGTTCTCATCCTATAAGGTATTGTTACTTCCATTTTGGATATGAGTAAACTGTGGCTCTGAGAATGTTCAGCCTCATGCCCCAGCAGGAGCTCTCGCCCGAGAGACAAAGTGTTGGAGAGACTCAGAGGGGCCAGCTGGCTTGCCCGAGACCCGAGTGTGGGACTGAGTCAGTCCTTCCAAGCACTCACCTCAACAGGGCAGGCTGGAGGTGCAGGCAGCCTCTGGCCCTCCGCCAGCAGGTCCAGGAGGCGGCAGAGAGCGGGGACATCTCGCTCACATCCCATCATCCGCAGGAACTCCTGGGGCCAAAGAGAATGCCCGGTGATGGGGGACGAGCATTCCGTGACGGAGGGGAAGGGGCCAACAGGTGATTAGGAGGGGATAAGCCATCCTGAAGGGAGGAAGGGGCTCATTCGTGGTGGGGGAGGGGTCCTCTGTGATGGAAGGGGCTGCCTGTGGGGAGACGGTGAGCCATAGCCAAGGGGTGGGAGGAGGAAAGTGCTAGGGACCCAGGGTGCTAGGGGCGCAGAGCGTTGACTCACAGCGGAGGGGCTGCAGCTCTTGTCGCTGTAGGTGAACAGCTCGTACAGGACAACCCCAAAGCTCCAGACATCCGACTGGCGCGAAAAGATGTTGTCCGAGAGGGACTCCGGGGCGTACCTGGAGGGGACAGGGCGGCCTTGGGGTGCGAGCACCGGCAGAGGACAGGAAAGGAGCAGCCTTGGGCTAGGGAAGCTGTCCAGGGCAGGTGGGGCTATGAGAAGGTCAGACTCCAACTCCGGGGTCTCAGTTTCCCTGACTGTGGGATGGGGGTGATTCTGTGGCCAACCGGGGCGGGACCTGGGAGGGGTCAACTCACGAAGCAGCAGTGGGGAAGGGAGGGGCCAGTG